AATCCTCTTCTGAAAGTCTTGAGGAAGAATTTGTCGCATTAAAGTTAAATAGTATCCCTGCTTGGATCTGTATTGGTTAGATGTCATTTGCTAAATTTATCTTATGACATAGAATGATATTTGGATAATTGCACTTATGTGATAAGTTGGTCAAATTGCATCCATTCATCACAAAATGAATGTGTTTACGCAACTGATGTTCAATATATGCTATTTGATTTGCAGGACATTGTCAGCCTTCGTCTCCTCGATCTCAGGAAGTGACTAGTTGCGTGTCAAGTGAAAGTATCCATCCCCGGGAAGATGAGTCAGATTTTATTGATGCATCTTATTGGGAACTAGAATATGTAAGACACATGCTTCACTATGCTGGATTGAAGAGATTAAGGTTGGATGAAGATTTCAACATTATAGATCCTGATCTCTTTGACCTGTTGGAAAATCTGATAAGTACATCAGGCAGGACTGCAGAACCATGTTCCAAGCTTGAACGGAGAATTTTGTTCAACTGTGTTACCGAAAGTGTTAACGCAAAGTACCAACGGGCTTTCCTTGGGAGCTACAAATCATGGGAGAAATGGGGAATGCTGCTTCAAAACGAATGGTTGACTGAAGAAGTGTATAAAGAGATTTTAGGTTGGCAAAACATGGGAAATTTAATAGTAGATGAGCTTGTGGACTTGGACATGAGTACTCAGTTAGGAAGGTGGTTGGATTTTGAAATTGAATCACTGGAAGAGGGAATTGACATTGAGAAAGAAATAGTAGAATCTTTGATCGACGAGCTTGTTGCTGACCTAACTGTATAGAGGCCATCTAGATAGTAAGCTTATTTAACCCATCCTAACCCTTTTGTACAATTTTTAGAAGAACAGATCATTTAGTTGATCCTACATCTCTCTTAATGGTAATGTGGTAGATGAATTAATTCTTTTGAAGAAATTCGCTCAATGCAAATGGCATCATTTTCTATTCGCTTTGATCATCAGAGAACTTACAGCTTATATAACTGTAGTTTTGTATCACAATTTACTCAAATGCATGTTCTTAACACTTTTAAATTCAGTAAGATCAAAACACAACTGGTACACCAGAGAAATTGAACTTCTCGGCTGAGAACCGAGGTTTTAGCAAAGGTATCTCCATGAAGTTCCTAGAGCTTTCATTACAGATAATTTGAGGTAAGAGAATCAATGGAAATGATGTTTGAGAGATGGTAGTGCTGGAAATAAGGTAGACATGAAAATGTGTGATAATGATGCAAGCAGCACTTAATACAAGCTGGGTTTATGATAAAAACATGTATTTGTACTCTTTAGCATTTTCACTTGGCCCCTTTGTAGGGTGGTGTAGTGGTCCTTCATTTGCTTACTACTTTGTGGTACTAATTTGGCATCTTAAGAGTTGTTCAAAGAATCTTAATCAATATTATTCCTTCTTTTGTACCCTAAAATCTGAATAAATTGGATTTTGCCTTGTTGGTCTATGTATTGATGTGATTATTACAAAGTATGCAGTATATGTATATGTATTTCAATAAGGAGGATAAAGAGAGAATACATCTCTAAGAAAAAAATGTACCTACACTCGAGAATACGATGTGAATTTAGTGTTGAATTAACAAATAATTCTATTCAAAGAAAGTACAAATTTGAAAGGAAAGTCTCATGCTAGTCATGCAGTTATCATATAATGGAACTTTATCCTAATCACATACTCTTAATAATTAATTTTTCATTACAACTTCTTAAATAGTACAATTGTGCAAGTAATAACAAAATTGAAAACTTAAGAAAATAAATTTTTGGGTGTGGGCAATAGACATTAGCATAAACAAATACAAAATACTACGTAATTTATAACCATCACCAATATTATAATCGCTTGCCAACTAAATGGTAAATTGGTAATGACTCTTACTCCTTATAAATTACTACGTAAAGTTTCTTGGATAAAATTGCATTGTTACAAAATTTGAACAAAGATTTTTATTAACTAATCATACAACTATTAGCTAACTTTATCATGTTGACAATATTGATGCATTCACTTCTCCAAATTTAAATTTTTGATAAATGAATAATCTGCAGTAGCTAGTTAGCTAGTACAGTAGTAACTTTCTGACTTCATTAAAAATAAACAGGGTTGAAATTGAATTTTATGGCAGAAAATTAAAGATACCACCTAAAAAAAAACAGTAAATGTATTATTTTTTGACCAATAAGAGCATAAATGTTCCTCAAAATAGCAACTATATTAATCTACTATTTCTAATTATACTAGGCTAGCTACCAGAAATATAAACTGACAATAGTTGGAAGATTAATGCTCCAACTTATTGGTAATTGGAATAAGACACCACCTCATTGACATACATACCTAGATTTGGTTAGTGGTAATTTTTACTAATAAGACAAAGTTTAATTAGTAAAATATTAACAAAGTCTTAAAAAAATTGGTTCTCTGCTAACTTCTTTCTAGGGTGAAGTAAGAATACTGAAAAGGGACACTACCTAAGTGCTATTACCTATAAGCTTTAATCATATTCCCCTAATTAACTAATCCTAATGTTGTCTTCCTTTTCGTTTTTATTAAAGTTAGACACAAATAACCCGGACTACCAATCAGGCTTCATCTCTCACGATTTTTTTGTATGGTGTTTAATCTTTAGCCTTAATTGCTTCTTGCACTCAAATGTTTACTCCCTCCGTTTCGTAATAATCACAACACTTTTCTTTAATGTCCGTTTCATAATAAGTGTAACATTTTCTTATGTAAGGATTCACTGCTATTTTACTCGTATTATTTGTCTCATTAATTTTCTTAAAACTTTGCGTATACCTTAATGGTGTGATTATTATGAAACAGAACGAGTAATATTTTACAGATTACTTTGGGATGATTCAACAACTCTCTTACCAACTACATTAAGCTTATTTGACATTATTGGTTGCTTAATTAACACATTATAAACCCAACTAAAAAGGTACGAGTACAAAAATATTTGTCACTAAGACAATAAATGTTACTCATAGTTATCTTACTTGGTTAAAGTATTTGTAAGTCGTCATCATTATTTACCCCTGAGCCATAAAGCAATGAGGAAACAATTGAATTTTGAAGGAGTGTAACTATCAACAATAAAATTTAAAGAGAATTAACTATGTTCATTAAACTCTATGTGTAAGTACTGTAGTTCATTCATGTCTTCACTTCTTTTTTTTTTCACACGTCTTATTCATTTCTGATATTCCATAGCCGATCTCATTAATGCAATTTTTGTTAATGAAGTTGACGTTTGAAACTAACTATGTGCTTTGTATTTATGTAGTTGGTTTTTATTTCCCATTGGAATATTAATTGCTTATTATAACACCACTCGATTGATTGGTTGGTGTTATTCAAATTTATTCTAAGATCACCCTCAAACACCCTCATTTGATAGAATTCGAACCTCAAACTTTTATAATTTGAGCAAATAATATCTATTATCTGTCACTTAACACAGAATGAAAATAATGACAATTTTTAAAAACGAAAGGAGTATCAATTTTAACCTACCCTAATACAGATTAGGGAGTACTATGCAATAATGCAAGTTAGTAGCTCTCCAATAATATAAACATCTAAAACTAGATTGACTTTATACAAATTTAACACATATTAAAATAATAAAAATATCATAATTAAATTAATTAATGAAATAACCTCCTTCCTCGTAAGGGTTGCACAAGAGTCAGGATCCAATGAAGGAATTGATCCAGTACAGTCAGGTGTACGATACTAAAATCAACCCTCAACAAACTAGCAAATCGAAACGTGTAGATTGATGAGCATTTGCCACGTGCATGACGTAGAGGTTCTGGAATCTGGAGGAGGGTGTAGGGTAGAAAAGTGGAAGTGAGAACAGAGTAGTAGGAAACAGAGCACGTGATGCTACAACAACCTTTGCAGGTGGATTAGATATATAGCGTGGTAGGGCTGTGACATCACACGGGCCGTGAACGTGCTTCCCTCTATTCTCTTTCTATTCTATACGTATTTCGTATTTCACTTGATTTTTTACTCCCTTGATTTAATTTTATTTCCTAGTTGTATTTAATTTTTTTTGGAAGGAGAATTAGATCTTTGAAAATTTTCTTGGTTATATTTGTAGTATAGTCTAATTGAAAATTTTGCAATAATTGATTTTTTTAGCAAATATGGAATAAGTATCATCCTTATGCTTGCATCAATTGTTAAACACAAATTGATTAGAGCCTTCATTGGCCCTTGAGACTTGCGTGTAAGTGAAACTGTAAAAGTATAAAATGAAATGAAGCAATATCACTACCCAACACACCATCATACACGTGGAGCTTACCTTGAACTTTTTTACTGAACACGGCAACAATGATTAATGTCAATCAAATTTAAGGAGAATATAACTGACAAACCTATCTTAAACAAGTTGACCATATTCAATTTAGATTGTAAACTACCAACCAATGTTACAAAGCTTACAATGTAACTAATACAGCAATTACCATATTTGAAATTTAACTACTGATATTAATATCCATTGTCACACACCCTAGATTTGCTTCCTATCCACCTCAATTAAAAGATGAGTAATTATTAGGAGTATTATTGTTTTATCTTCCTCTTAACCTTAAACACTAGGGCAAAAAGAAGCAAGCTAAAAAGTGGAAGAAGAAAAAAAAAAAAATAAACACAATAATCAAAAAACTTTTTGCAATAATAAAATTCTAGACACATAATTTACTTTTATAGCCTTGTAGGGGCAAATATTATGTACTTTAAAAAATTCCAAGAATCTAAACAGCCTCATCAATTTCATCATAAAAATAAACCCAACAGCACCGTACGGAAAATCCCTTTTTTAATTATTTCACCCCAAAAATTCCCAATGGCATTTTCGTTATTTTACCCCAAATCCAAGGGTAATTTCATTTCAATACCTCCCTTTTATTTAGCTTCTTCTTCACTCATCATTTTTCTCTCTCCTTCCATTTCTGCAACTCCCATATTTGTTTTTGTTGTTTGTTTTCTCTCCTCTTTTCTTCTTCACAGAATACCATGGATTCCAACCTCGAAGCTCCAACCTCCATTAATGGCGGTGATTTTCTCTCTCCTCCATCTCCGCCACCACTCCAGAAGGAAGACGACAACGACGACGAGGATGATGATGATGATTTCTACATCGATGACAGTAACTGTTCAACGCCATTTGTGAGCGCGCCTTCTAGTCCAGGTCGTTCGTACTATCCTTCTGGATTCTTCTACAGTGCTCCTGCAAGTCCCATGCATTTCGTCCTCGCTACTGCTCAGGCGAGATCCTCCGCCGGCGGTGGCTTAATTCCGGCGAGTTCCGACGCGTCCTCCTCTACCGGCTCGTTCGAGTTCGAGTTCTCCTCCCGATTCGACTCGCCGGCGCCGGAGATTGGACCGTCAATGTCGTCCGCTGACGAGTTGTTCCTCAACGGTCAGATCCGTCCGATGAGGCTTTGCGCTCATCTACAACGGCCGCAGAAGCTTCCGTCTCTGACATTGCTGGAATCTGAGAGAGAAGATGAAGAAGATGACGATTATTGCGATGATAATGATGAGAAGAGTAATGTGTTTCAGAGGTCAAGGTTGAGAAACAGATCTCAGCGGAGAAGAACTCGGTCTCTCTCTCCTCTTCGGAGTACGGCGCCGTTTGAGTGGTACTGCTCTGACGACGCCGTTTCGACTCCGACGAAGAAGGCGGAGGAGGGAGGAGAGAGTGAAGGAGGAGGTGAGAAGGAGAAGGACGGCGGCGAAACGACGCCGTCGGGGAGTTCGTCGCGGTGTTCATCGGCGGGGAGGAGTTCGAAACGGTGGGTGTTTTTGAAGGATTTTCTGAGGAGTAAGAGTGAAGGAAGAAGTAACAACAAATTCTGGCATAATATCAACATCTCGTTTTCTCCAGCGAAAGAGAAGAGAGATAAAGGTAGCAACAATAATAGTAATGTCAGTGAAAATACAAATGTAAATGCGAGTGCGAATTCGGCTTCGTGCTCCGAGGAAAAGAAGGCGAAGAAGAAGGAAGTTTTGTCGTCGAAAGGAAAGGGGATGCCGGGCGGAAAGAGGAGGTCGGCGCATGAGATGCACTACGCTGCGAACCGAGCGCAAGCAGAGGAGATGAGGAAGAAAACATTCTTACCTTACAGGCAAGGTTTATTGGGATGTTTGGGGTTTAATTCCAAGAGTTATGGTGCACTTAATGGCTTTGCTAGAGCTCTAAATCCTGTCTCTTCTAGGTGATACCATTACATGTATCATTATCAAGTATCTACCTATCATCATCAAAAACGTTTTTATAAAGAAACCCAAATCAAGTGTATTATTGATTAATAGGGTCTAAAAAAATGGGAAAAAAAAAATACAAGTAGATGATTTTTGAGAAAATACCTGTTAATATGGCATATTAACAAGTATTGTTAATATAGGGGTATAGTGGTCTTTTTTATCTATGTAACAAGGCTAGTGGAGTAAATTCACCGCCAAGAACATCTACTACCTCACTGGATGCTAATTTGCATCGTTAATTCCGTCATCTACTCATCTCCATATCCACTTCTTTTTCACTCAAAATTAAAACCATTAATGGAGAAATTGGCGGCTGCAATGGACAACTCAAAGGTGATGACAAATTTCTACCCTTTGGGTTTAACCATGCCTTTTGTTTCACCCTTTATCATTAGGGTTTTCGTTTATTTCGGCGGCGAAGCCGCCGGAAAGTGGTGGCGGTGGACATGTTTGAGCATCTTCAATGGTGGATGAAAGCTTGGACATCTTCAATGGTGAACAAAAGCTTGGGCATCTTCAATGGAGGATGAAAGCTTGAATTGGGCATTTACTTAACGTTAACGGCGAAAGGTTACAGGTGGTAGTAGAAAAATAATAAAATAATATATTCCACTCCTCATATTTACAAAATTGCCACCATATTAACAAAGTTTTGTTAATATGACATATTAACTGGGTTCTCCTCATGATTTTTGTATAGAGGATTTGATTTTCTTATTTTTCTCCACCTTTAAATTTGATATAGGCCCCTAATTTTTCTTTAAATTTGTTTATCTAGGGTTAAAATACATGATTATAATCATGATTACTCTATCAATGTGTAGATTATGATTGTTGGGTGCCTTCTCATATTGTCAACTAAAAAGGAGAAGATTAATTGTAGTAGCCTTTTTTTTTTTTTTTTTATGGTGGAAACAAAAAAAAATTGGTTGCTATGGTGGAAACACTTGGAAAAAGAGATTGGGAAGGGATTTTTAGCTTTCTAGTCTCTATGAATTGTTAGTAAATTAGTAGTACGGAGTACTAATTACTAAAGTATGAATCTATGTATCTAATTATTTGGGGGTTATGTTAACTTGTTTGAAGAGATTATCTTGTAAATTTACAATTCAAGTTTCACTACACCTTGATAACCTACCCACACAATTTACTTAGCACATTACTATTAAATTGATGTTATGGAAAGTAGAGTAAAAAATTACTTAATTTGTTAGTTTAAAATTGTTCCACAATGAAGTAGGGGCTATGACAATTTTCTTCTGTTTCGGGTTCCTTGTCTATAGTTTACCGACTCTAGTCTGATCTAAACTTGTTTTTCTAGTTGGGTGATGCGTATGATAACCCTAATGTTAATTTATACGTCGTTTTTCTCAATTGTCAAAAACCAATTGTTCGAACATGTATTATCCTGTTAAATTTAAGCAACATAGCAATATTGTGTGGACATTAACTAATTTTGGTGCTATCTTACAATCATTCAATTCCAAATGAAGATCAAATGATGAAGCCCCATATAATGTTTAAACGGATAGTGGATAGATCATGTGAATGGATGGTTGAAAAGCATGTTACAACATGGGACTGTGTCCGTTATATAGTAGATACAGTATATAAAGACACTGAAAAAATTCTTACACATTTTAATGTTTCTCTTAGTTAGGTTAATAATAAGAGGTAAAATTCATGTGACAATAGAATGATGGTTCATATTGAGCTCAATTGGTTTTACTATCAAAAATGGAAGGAACGTTAGAAAGAAGAGTTGGGGAAAAAGGGTGAGTTCCAATTATTTGCACCACATGGTTAAGTGACAGAACCATGTTAGTTGGAGACTTGGCAGTGCTTTGATTTTGACTCTATAATGATAGTAATGGAGCTTTCAGTAAAAAATAAAAATTGATTTTTTTTACTGCTTTAATACCTGACTGACAAGCCCATAACCTATAACATCCTATATGGAGTAATTTTTTAAATGGAGCTTTCAGTATTTACTGCCTAATTAATTGTATTATACGGAGAGCACGGAGAAGTATTAGGTTTTGAAAGCTTTGGCGTTACATGTGGTGCAACTATTGTATGAGATAGTTTCATACGAGTATCCGTGAAATGTGTGTGGTATGAACCATATAATGCATAATACGGAGTAATTGTATAACTTGCATGGCTTTGGTGGTGGTTGAGGAGTTTTGGATGAGATGGGAAGGACTCATTTTTCTTTTGTCTTTGGTAAGATTCATTTATTTATTTTTTGTTGTTTTGGGGGTTTGTTGATGATAAGTAGTTCTTGCTTGTTCTTTTAGGAAATGTCATTTTTATTTGTTCTGTAGCTGAAGAAATTAAAAAAATAAAATAAAATAAAAAGGAGTAACATTTTTATAAAATTAGTTTGGTTGGTGGTAAAGGGCGTGTGCTACTTTATTTTAAGTACATAGTGCTCATCTTTTTAACATAAGGTATGAAATTATGAATTATTCATGTTGTGTCCTAGAAAGTGACATTTTAGAGATTGAGAATTTAACAAAACAATGACTTGATTATTGTTTTACATGCTTTTTTCTTATCTCTTTATCTTTTTACATGTCTCCATCCATCTCTAGTTCATTTATTTAATTATTTATTTTCCAAGATGGAAAGAAGGGGTAGGAAAGTAGTAGAAAAGGACCCTTTTTATTTCAATCTATTACCATTTTCCTTCAAAAAAAAGAAGTGTAAAACAGGTTGTGACCAAATTATAGTACTCATTAGTATTAACTATTTATGTATTTTCCATTCAAAATCAAAAGTAATTGTCACATAGTTTCTAATACAGTAATTAGATTCTTTCTAGTTCTAATATAAATTGTTGTGCTTATTGTGGATGAATAGGATTTTACTATTTTTTTTTTTTGCAAGTTTAGGTGATCATTATTTCTAATTTAAAGATGGAAACAGTTGGAAAATATTGTTGGGGTTCATTCACACTTGACAAACGTGTTAAACCAATATACTTTGTAGCTAGTTTAGAAAAGGATTTTTTTTTTGAAATAACCACCTACTATTGTTGTCGTTTTAATAATAACCACTTACAGTTTATTTTATTTTATTTTTTTACCACCTACTATTTTTAAAAACATGAAAATTTCCCACCAGAGTTCCCAAACCCTCATACATGACATCATTGAGGGCCTCATTGACGGATTTTTTACAATTTTATTCCTTTATCTAACCTTGTTCTTCGATTTTTAAATTGCAAATCCAAATTATGCAAACAAACCCCTAAATTAGGTACCTAATTTACAAAATTGGGGCTAATTATAAGATGGTGTTCATCATTTAGGGTTTTAAAATGAAATTAGGAGTTTGTTATTTAGTGATTAATTTATGAAATGGGACTATTTTGCATCGATTTTACTTATTATGCCTTCAATTAGTACCAAAACTGATATTACTGTTCATAAATTATTACTAATTATTGATATGAAAAAATAGGGTTCATATGTATTTTAGGGATATTTTAAAATAAAGTGTTTTTCTAATTATGATTTACAATCCTAAATTGAGCATATATATATATATATATAAACCCTAAATGAAGAACAACAAATTGTAATTAACACATATTAGTGACTTAATTATGTTCGTGTGAACTCGAATTATCTTAAATCGACTACCAAATGCTTTTCCCTAATCTAATCAATACTATTATTTTAAAACAGGAAGTTGGATGGACACTTGTCCTCTTCCTGTTTTTCCTGTTTTAAAATAATTTTCTTATATTACAAATATATATATATATATATATATATATATATATATATATATATATATATATATATATATACACACACACACATCTCTTCCATCCCAATGCCCTAATCATGCCTATTCAAGAAAATAGTTTTTTTCATCCAAAAAAAAAATTATTGAAACAGAAAATCAATAAACAATTCTTCAACATCTCTTCCATCCCAACCCCCTAATCATGCCAATTCAAGAAAATAATTTATTGGATATAAACAAAAAAAAAATCTATACTAATTTTTTAAAACGGGAAATTTAAAGGACACTTGTCCTCTTATTGCATTTATGATTTTTTTTTTTTTGTTGAAACAAAAGAGAGAAAAAAACAAAAAAAAAAAATTCCTAAACGATTCAATCCCCTCAAAAAAAGATATCAATTTTCATTTGTGTCTCTAGGTTTCACTAAATTGCATTATATATAAAAATCAAAATATTATAACAGGAAGTTGGATAGATGCTTGTCCTCTTCCTTTTTATCCTATTTTAAAATAATTTTTTTTAATTACAAAAAATTTAAAAAAAATAAATAAATCTATACTAATATTTTAAAACAGGAATTTAAAGGACACTTGTCCTCTTCCTGCATTTATGATTTTTGCTTTTTTTTTCCTCTCTTTTGTTTCAACTAATGTGTGTATATATATATATATATATAGAAGTTGGAAGGACACTTGTCCTCAACCTGTTTTAAAATAAATTTTTTTAATAAAAAAAAAAACATCTCTTCCATCCCAATGCCCTAATCATGCCTATTCAAGAAAAAAGTTTTTTTCATCCAAAAAAAGTTATTAAAACAGAAAATCAATTAAACAATTCTTCTACATCTCTTCCATCCCAACCCCTTAATCATGCCTATTCAAGAAAATAATTTATCAGATCAAAAAATAAAAAATCTACACTAATATTTTAAAACAAAAAATTTAAAGGACACTTGTCCTCTTCCTACACTTATGATTTTTGCTTCTTCTTTTTTGACAGGCTCTTTTGTTTCAACTAAAGTGTAATAAAAAAAAATAAAAAAATAAAAAAACTCTTAAACGATTCAATCCCCTCAAAAAAAGATATCAATTTTCATTTGTATCTCTTGGGTTTCACTAAATTGCATTATATATATAAATTTTCAATCACACTAAAAAATCAATACTATTATTTTAAAACAGGAAGTTGGAATTGCATTATATGTATAAATTTTCAATCGCACTAAAAAATCAATACTATTATTTTAAAACAGGAAGTTGGAATTGCATTATATGTATAAATTTTCAATCGCACTAAAAAATCAATACTATTATTTTAAAACAGGAAGTTGGAAGGACACTTGTCCTCTTCCTGTTTTTCCTATTCTAAAATAAAAAAATTTATTACAAAAAAAAAAAAAAAACATACATCTCTTTCATCCCAATGCCCTAATCATGCCTATTCAAGAAAATAGTTTTTTCATCCAAAAAAATTTATTAAAATAGAAAATCACGTCAAACAATTCTTCTACATCTCTTCCATCCCTAACCCCTAATCATAAATAATTTATTGAATAATAATAAAAAAAAATCTGTACTAATATTTTAAAACAGAAAATTTAAAGGACACTTGTCCTCTTCTTGCATTTATGATTTTGGCCTTTTTTTTTTTCTCTTTTGTTTCAACTAAAGTGTAAAAAAAGTGTAATAAAAAACCAAATTAAAAAAAAAAAAAAAAACCTCCTAAATGATTCAATCCCCTCAAAAAAAGATATCAATTTTCATTTGTGTCTCTTGGGTTTCACTAAATTGCATTATATATATAAACTAGATGAAGTCCGTGCAATGCACGGTTTATTTGTATTTTTAGTAACAAATATTTTTTGTATTTATGTGATAAAATTTGTTATATATTTTGATGAAATTCCTAATCTCAAAAGGTAATATTTTATATTTAATTAATTTAAATTTTAAAATCTCAATCGCCAATTTTGCTTACGTGGCATGTGAATTATTTAATTTTAAAAGAAACTACAAATCTCTTATTTAATTTCCTACAATTAAAATCTATAATCC